TGCAACTGACTGGCGCTTCATATCTATTGAAATGAGTGTATTAAAGCATGTCGCGTATGATGGGTGGCTCCTGCCTTTTCCCAGCGGAAGAAGGAAATTACAGTTCAAAGACCATAATTGAATTCAACTTGTGTATTCATTCAAGCCAGATCGAAAGTGACAAGCAAGGTTTTAATCAGTGCCTTTTTGAGATGGTAAAAAAATGAGTTACTTCTAAGTGCCACTTCACAAAGATGCTTCATATATTTGATGAAATAGCGGTGTTTGATTAGAAACTAAAGAGGAGCCTGCTTTTAAGTCCAGGTAGCTCATTTCTAAACTAGGAAGTATCTTCATTTTGTCCAACGTGTGTGTGTGTGTGTGTGTGTGTGTGTGTGTGTGTGTGTGTGTATATGTGTGGTTTTCTTGCGCCTCATTTCACCTTGTCACCAAGCCATAAATCAGTATTGAATATGTGCTTCATTTAGATGTCTTCACAGATTCTCTTACTGCCCCTAATTTTTTTTTCTGGATGGCATAACAGCATGTTGAATTACTGTCTTACGTAAGGAGAAAGGGTTTTTGGATGTTTTTACTGTATAGTAAATTGCACCGTAAACTGTAAATGCAGGATTTCAACAGTCTTATCTTAAATGGGCACGGTTTGCCCTCTGCCCTCTTGGAAATCTTTGTATCTCTCCTCTCCTCCGGTCTCTCAGCTGGAGAATTCAAAGAAACATCAGCCCGCTTCTTCCTCTGATTCATCAATCTCCTTGCAGCAAAGAGACTGATGAGCTATCTTCTCTTGCAGCTTGGCACACACAAAAAACTGTGCAGATTTTAAGGCTACTATGCTTAGTAGAGTGGATTACAGCTGGATTTTGTTTCTAATTAAATATAAATGTGCATAAAGTGTGCGTGTACCCTAAATTTCCTAGCCAAACCATCATCAAAGATTCTTCAGCTGCTTGTACTACTTTTATTAGGGTAGCATGGCTTCTTTTAGTTATTACAATATAAACCCTTTGAAACCAGAAATGAATTCCTACAAAAATGTCTACGGTTTTCACTATTGGAACCTTGCCCGACAGTTTCAGATATATCCTGTGTCACATTTAGCTATACAAGGTAACCTGTACTTCAACATTTTCGAAATGAATTTTGTCAAATTAGTTTTTCAATGGATCAGACCGACATCATCATCATCCCAGGCTCGAATGATCACATCCACCCAACTGTGATAACAGATAACAGTTTTTGATCGCCATGCACGCTGGCTTGGCCGAGGCATACACATGCAAGCAACAGGGTTCCCGTCGGGATTATAACGCTGGCACACTGCTCAAAACCAGCTTGTTTTTTATCTTATTCCCCACCCCGACCACAAAACAGTGTCAACTAATGCAATCATTCTTCAATCAGTGTTCCATGGTGGAAATCTAATCACACTGGTTGGAGGTTTCAGAGAGCCATCTGCTTTAATCCGTTCCCTGAGAAATATCCCCGTCACAGCGCTCCCTTTGCCACTGAAATAATTACCCATTTTGGCTGCTAATTTTACAGGTTCATCTTGTTAGGGGCGCGGCAAATGCGTGAGGTTGACAGTACTTCCTGAGGCGTTTTCCATTGCGGTGACCCTATCCGGCCCCTCAGACGCTGGACAATGCTGGACAAACACTAAGCTTCTGTCTGTCTGCCAAAGCTCCTGGCCTTACCCCATATCTTGCATTCTCTGGAGCTTGGGCGTATGAATGCCTTGCCATGGCATCTTTGAAATCCTAAAGGGCAGCTGACTCAGCCATGAAAAAAACTGACGCAATACTTAAACCAGTAATCAAAACCTTTAAGCACGACAACCTTTATTTTTATGCTGTCCCCAGTAAAATGGCAACGCTGAGGGTCTCTGATAGGAAAACAAATAATAAATGACTGACAGTGGCCTTTTCTAATGTATCAATTTTTCCTCCAAGCTCTTTGTCTTTCGGGCTGAGTGCTACGTGGGCCGAGTGGCATTCAGCTCTGATGTGGGAAATGCCTTCCGCAATGTTTGAACTTGCAAAGACACATTTATTCAGTGACCTTTAGTCAAAACACCTTGACTGAGAGGTTTCCTGTGTCTGAAATGACATTCTGACATCCCCCCATGTTACAAAATGGAAAGGCTCCTGGAAAAATATGAAATACTATTACCAACGTAAAATATTTAAATGTTTACAGGAAGACGCTGCATTTGTTTGGCTGTTTGTGGAGGTTTTAGGACGCATTGCACAGTCCTGCCTCGACTCCATTTTTTGTATTCAGTGTGTGGCTTGACATGTCCATGAAATTGATGATTTAAAAACAGATGATGTATGTCACGAATATGCACATAGTGTGTGAAATCCCCACAAATAAAAGATAGACACAAATAAATATTTATTTACAGTGGGTCCTCGGTTTTCGTCGTTCCATTCGTACTCCAGCAACATAAACAGAATTTGTGCCAACTTCACTAAAACTTACGTTACTGCAGCGTCGTGACCGTGAGTTATAAATTATGGATGAAAACTACTTCTGGGGCCCTATTCTGGTGCTCAGCGCAAATCTAGCACAACCTACAGGCCAATTTTGTGCGTGGGTGGAGTTTTCTTTCTTTTCGTATTTTTCATAGACGGTTGCAGAAAGAATGGGTTGTTTGCGCCGTTGTGCGAGTGAACACAGCCAAATCACTTCCTGACCAATGAAAGCAGCTCCACTCATTCCCTTTAAATTCAGCACAGTAGAGGGGTGCAAAGTCTTTGACTTGCTGAAGTCCAAGCAGAAGATTGCGTAAATTACTTTTACAATGAACCACTGTACGAACAGACCTCCACTTGCAGATGATGTAAAATTGGCCTGGACGATCACAGATCAGCTCTGTGAATTGTGCACTTGGGGAATGCCTTTGTTTGTGTCCGCATGTGAGAATTTCCCCCGGCCCCTTAGTAATAGGGGTGGTTCAAAAAAGTTGACAATTAAATTAATAATGATCATCATCATCATCATCATCATCATCATGTGTTCAATTAATTGATTTCTTGAAGGAATCAGAGGCTTCGATGCACTCTGTTCTCATATTTATGAATGGCATACGATGACATCCACCACACACGTCAGCAGAGCTCCGAATCTGGCTGCCAAAATTGCATTACATCACCTGCGTTACAATTCACACATGCTTTTTGCTGGTTTCCAATCAAATTTCTGTCACAAACTTTTCAGGTGCGCCGAGGCATGTCAAAGAAAATGCCTTTGGTTTGGCGCAACACCCAGCATGGCGTTAAATTCATAAACACGGTAAATGAGACTTACCCTGGCACGTTAATGAAAACGTGCCAGTTTTTACAACGAGCTTCTAGACTTCTATAAAACAGTCACATGAAAAACAGTAAGTAGCTACAGCGGTCACTGAACATTCCTTGGTCACGGTAAGACGAAACATTTTTTATTTGATGGGCGGAGCGCATGAACACGGATCACCGCAGCAAAGTGGAGCCGATGGACAAATCCATGTACTGCAACAGGTGAAGCGAGCAGTAACGCGTGTATTCATTTTTACAGTTTCTCAACATGTATCCTCAAATGTTGCAACGACTCATCAAGGATGATTGTGCCAGTATGGTTACGTGTGTGTGTGTGTGTGTGTGTGTGTGTGTGTGTGTGTGTGTGTGTGTGTGTGTGTGTGTGTGTGTTGGGGGGGGGATAGATAATGGAAATGAAGCAATTTAATATCCCTTTACCAATTGTGACAAAAGAAACTCACTTTGAGTGTGGAAAAACCCCTGAAGTGATATTCGTAGACTGTATCTGTGATCCCTCTATCATGTATGCTTCTGTTCCCGTTAACGGACTGACTGTGGCTGCAGGCCAGAAACTCAAGAGCTGTTCATTGTTGCGGAGCAGCAGTTTAAATACCAGCATGTTCTTAATACCACTGAATCACATCACATCAATGTCTGTCTCTTCACATGCGAATATAGTCACACACATTAACCTCAATGCTCTACCTTGGACTTCCAAGAATTTACAATGTTATTATCCAAAACTCTTCTCTCAGGGTGTGCATGCGTGTGCATGTGTATATGTGTGTGTATCAGTCAGCAGTGGCAGACCAAAGCTTTATCTTGAAAGAGGTGCATTGTGCTATATAACCACTTAACCTTCACTCCCCCCCCATGCTACCCTCCCATGGGAATCCCAATAAAGTGTGGATTATTTTATAACACATCGCGTGGCTGTTGACTTTTATAAGGCCCCTTCAAGCGCCCGAGTGACTTTTGGAGGGGATTTGGAGAGGGGCTGATTTAACGGAAAGAAAGGCCAGGTCTGAACCACTCTGTGTCTCCAAATGGGCAGCATATCCAAAACCATCAACGGAGGCCTTGTCTGCCGGGAGCAAAAATAAACACCCTTCACTGATCCCTTTCATTTTCCTATGCTGCCATATGGTTTTACACAAGACTTTACTGCAGCTACAGCACCACGTCAGAGATGATGGTTTTCACGTTCATGTGTCCCCTATACTATCCATACCGTTGGCATCCACTTTGCTGCCTTTCCCATTCACATGTCAGAAGTAGTGAAGATTTGTAATCAGATAAAACACATGTTGACTTCCAATTTCTTCTAAATTACTTATAATAATAATAATAATAATAATAATAAAACAGAGCAATTCGTTTGGAAATAATAATTCAAACTCAACTAATGCAGTTTTATTTACATTCTGTTGCAGCTTCTAACTTCTGTTCACGTGTGCAGCAAAAATTGGAAGAGTCACTCATCTAAGGGACCTCACCCTTCATCATCACTGCTGGAGTGTCATACTATAAGTATACTGTATAAGAAAGATGTTTATTAAGATGAGTGAGTTTGAGTTTTGAACACCTTATTCTAAATATATGAATACGCACATATAATACACACATTTCTATAAATACACACACACACACACACACACACACACACACACACACACACACACACACATTAAGGGAACACTCTAAATCAGGGGCGGGCAATTATTTTCCCAGGGGGGCCAAATGAGAAGCAGAAAATATTGTGGAGGGCCGGGCCAAAAGTTAGAAATCTAAACCAGTGTTTACAGAAGCTGATAAGAGTATGTATTACTGCTAGATAATGAAACTGCAGTTATTTTACAGAAAAACGACTTCTTCAGTGAAATTATGCAAAACAATTCTAATTTTGCAACATTTGTAACTCTTTTTCAGTAAGATTAACACTACAACGCTTTCTGATTTTAACTTTCCCATGAAGATAGCACCATGTCTTTGTATGTCAGTAATAATGTAACATAACTCACATTTTTTGTCCCCAACTGCCAACTAATGTAGAAAAAATACAAGCAAGCATGTTTCAGTGTTTTCGACATGTTTCAGTGTTTTCCACCTGGTGTTGAAATGCCTGTCATTACAAGTCCAAATGAAATGAATGCAATCATTTACATCAAACCTTAATTGTGTACTGTACCAACCTTCGGCGGGCCGGATTAAAAAGACCAACGGACCGGATCCAGCCCACGGGCCGTAGTTTGCCCACCTCTGCTCTAAATTGTCCCTCGGTGTGAGTGTGAGCGCAGATGGTTGTTTGACTCTGTGTACCCTGCGATTGGCTGGCAACCGGTTCAGGGTGTCCCCCGCCTACTGCCCGAAGACAGCTGGGATAGGCTTCAGCACGCCTCGTAACCCTTGTGAGGATAAAGCGGTTCAGAATATGGATGGGTGGATACATATATCTATATATTTATGAAGTGGGGTATGCAAGTTGCCTTGCATACAGTCCACCCAGTTTACCTTGTGTTGTACGTCCCATTCCTCTACACACAATGTACTTTTTAACGTTTCATCGCAGCATTCAATAGAGGAAGTGGTTTTTGCAAAGTCCAAAGCTAGAAGTAATGTGTGGCAAGTTAAACTGTTATCTGGTTTAGAGTTTCGTCATAAGATTGTCAGCTATATATGCCATAAAACTGGACATCATTTTATTTTCAATGTTCCGTCTTTCTCCATAATGGTATCAAAGTTACATTTCCTTCAGGCAAAGGCACAGTCAGCCTCTATGTGTGATTCATCAGATGACAATGAGTAATTCAATGGAACTTAATAAGGGTAGCTGGGCGTTTTGGAGGTGGGTTGTAGTTCTCGGATAATTCCGGTTTAATCTGACTTCTTATTTATAACTGGTGATAACAAAAAGTGATACATTCTGTCTCTGTGATGGCGCATTGTGATTTGCGTTCCTCAAACTGACACAGTAATTCTCTCCATTATTGGTTGTCTCCGAAAAAAAGACTAGAATGGGGGTTGGTTGGGGTGGAGGTGGGGCTGCTGCATCAGCATGTGTGCAGTAATGTGATAGCAAGGCCTGGCCACACAAAGAAAACAGAACTAGCTCTCTAACAACTCTCCCAGTAAGACCCTGGGAGGAAAGGGGAGGCAGGTGGGGGCTGGGCAGCGCCATCGGTAATCCTGCTGCCCTCAACTGAAATTGAAATGATTATTCTAACCATCAAAAGCTAAGGAATATACCTTGGAAGTCATCTCTGTGAAGACATACTCAATGAATGACACACAGCACAGTGCTTCACCCGTTATTTACAGGGGACAGGGACAAAGTCCAGTGAGACAACTCATTTGTGATTGACCTCCCACCCCTAAAAATATAATATATGTATGCATGTATGTATCATGCATGGCACTACACCGGTGCCCCCGTCGCCACCTCAGAAATCCATCAAAATCTGGTAAGCCTCCTTGCAGTCCCCCAGTTTTAAAAACGTTTTTTTAAAGATTCAAAAGTAAGCAGCCATTCTGTTGCAATTCAATTCCTGTTTCCGTGTTTGTGTACCCCACGTGTGTTTGTAAAGACAGGTACTTGCACATTAGGGGCACATTCGGAAATTATCTCTGAACGCAGAGTGTGTACTGTTTCACTGCGACCAATTAGAAATCTTAAACGGTAGCTCGGTTAAGAGAGAAGACTGTGGGAAAGCACTTGTGATAATAACTGCAAAAAAAAAAAAAAAAAAAAAAAGATGGAAAATTTAAGATTTAAAAAATATCCCAAATAGTTTGCAACAAAAAAAAAATCACTCTCCACCAAAATGTTTGGGTATTTGCAATTCACAATCCACCATCTTTTCAATGATTGTAAAAATCTGTCACAAAGGGCTTGGACAGAGTTACCTGTTGGACTACAGTACAACATTATGGCCATCAAAGAGAGAACACACACACACACACACACACACACACACACACACACACACACACACACACACACACACACACACACACACACAAACACACACACATGGTCCTGTTAATTAATATTAATCACTCAATTTAGTCTGCTATGCTTCCTTCAGAACAATGGAAGGATTCAAACTCTCACCATTGTAATTAAAATGCGCATACAACGTGTATTACTGTGTGAAGGTCCTGTTCTTACACCAAATACAGTACAATACAATGCAAAACAATACTGTACATCTTTATTTATATTGCGCTTTCGCATCAGCTGCAGCTGTTCCAAAGCGCCAAAGCTCTTTACAGAACAGTCAACATAAAATAACATAACAGAACACATAACAAAAAAACATGGAGAGTCATAAAATCGTAACAAGGAATGAGTTACTGTCTAAAAAACAAGAAAAGTTCTCAATAAGGCACTAGAATAATGTTCCCATTTGAACTGTGTCAATGTTCCAATCCCCCCAAAAATAATGAGCTTTTTGAATGTCTAGTTTAATGTAATTTATCGTTTCCATGGTTTCCACCTGTGCACAGTAGATTGAAGTAGACTTTGTCCTAGTTGACTTATCCTACTTTCGTAAATTTGCATGCAATCTGTTTAATGCTGTCCAATTATGCTTATTGATGTTTAAAAAGCGCACATCAATTCCATGAAATCACATTTTCGTGGTTATGGAGTTCAGTGTTGTTGAAATGTGGATGTGAGGGTTGTGAGGGTGATTGGGGGGTGGACAGATGTGTTTAAGCTGGCAGAGAAAGTACAATGCAGAAGGGGGAGGGAAGACCCTGCTGCTTTCACTCAAACACTTCCTGATCTCAAATCCCCTCAGTCAATCCCTCGGGTGATATCCCCTGGCTGGCTTCACTTTCACCATGATGAAGCTTTGTAGTCCAGTCAGGAGAAAGCAGGATAACAAGGCACATATGAGTTGAATTGACTCTGTGACATAATGACTCCATGTAACTTTCTCGCCGCTCTAATACAGACATGTTCTTCTCTGCGTAAACACGAGAAATGTTGTTCATGCCATACACTTTTCTTTTTATGTGTTTAAATTCTATTCCTAATGCAATAATAAACACACCGTGTAGCGTACATCCACTTGCACCAAGCCATTAGGGGTAGGAAAGGAGGCAAACCACCTTTTGTAACCTGAAACTCTTCTCCATCAGCAGCCCCTGTGCTTCCTTCCACCAGGCCAGGAGCAGAGCGGCAGCGGGATAACATGAGCCTCTGTTGTCTCAGCCGCAGCTCTTTGGATACATTTTGAACTCCTTGTCCCTGAGGACACAGCCATATAGAGCCCCCGTTGTACTGAGGAGCATGTGAATGCACTGCTGACTTGAGCGTGGTGAACAGTGTGACTCGGTACTGTAAGGCAGTTGTTGAGTCCGAACGTCACACTGTATGTGTCTACAGTAATGCACTTGCATGGAGAATGAAGATGCATCGATGAACCAAGTTGTGCCATGAAAAGACTGTGCATTTTGACCCTATTGTGAGGTTGGCAAAAACACAATCATGCAAACAAGTGAAATGTTACTGAATTGACTGAATTATTGTGAAACATCTAAAGGCAGGCCACTGTTATTCAGCGATAGTTTTACAGATAACTATTCCTCAAAGGTCACATAAAATGAGGAGCTCAGACCATCATAAGTGAGACGGCAGAAATTTTTCAGAGATAAACTGCAGAAGTGTGAAATGAATTTCTAAAACTATTTTAGGGGCTAAGGAGTGGTGATGCCTCTCCAGAAGAGGAAGCAATGATAATAACTAGGAATTAGAATCAGACTGGGGCCGCACGGTGAACTACTGGTTTGCACGTGCGCCTCACAGTTCAGAGGCGCAGGGTTTGATTCCGGCCTTTCTGTGTGGAGTTTGGATGTTTTCCCAGTGCCTTTGTGGGGTTTCTCGGGGTATTCCGGTTACTTCTCACGTTACAAAAACATGCATGGCAGGCCAATGGAACACTCTAAACCCAGATGTGTCAAACATACGGCCCGCGGGCCGGAAGCAGCCCCCAAGGAGGTTCGATCAGGCCCAGAGGATCATTTAAAAGTGAAAAAATGCATAAAAGAAACGTAATGAATGTTTTTTATAAGGTGCAGTTCATGGAGTGTCCGCTAGGGGACACAGTGTTTTGATCAGAGTAGAAAACAGCATTGTTTTGATCAGAGAAGAAAACAACAGCAGTCTCAGTCTGTCACTGAGACAGACCCAACACAGCAGACGCTATCAAGGACATGTGAATACTTTACTCTTTACACATTTAATAGCACTCTCCTTAGTTTGTAAGGTGTAGGCAGGCTTTAAATTCAGATTTTCTATGCACATGTGTAAATAAATGGTTTAAAAATTCCTTTCTTTATAAATTTTGTTTAATCTTAAAATGCATGAATGTATTATATTTTTCAATACCAATTACTGTACTTGTTAAGGTTTTGTGCCTTTGTACAATCAGTGGGATCAGTTGCAATGGACATGTGTGAATGATAAAAGTCAATTGCACATTTGTCTAAGGAAATCTACGATGCTTCATGAAATGTTTTGTTAAAGATATGTTCATTAAATTTCAACATTTTACTCATGTTCTTGTGCTTCTTTAGACCAAAACAAAGGAAAGACATATTATTTTGGTTATTAATAGCAGAGTATGGTAGAAATTTTAATGGTCCGGCCCACTTGACATCTACCGAGGCCGTATGCGGCCCACAATGTGAAATGAGTTTGACACCCCTGCTCTAAATTGTCCCTAGGTGTGATTGTGAGCGCGAATGGTTGTTATTCTGTGTGTGCCGTGGGATTGGCTGG